TGGATGAGTTTGATTGCATCTTGATCATATCACTTGAAACTTGGGTAAAATTGTGTACATATTAAAGAATATATAGGATATAAATGTGTAACGGTAATTTTAAAAACTTCCGAGATCTTAAAGGACATCACAACACTAAAAACAAGTTTGATTAGATTTAAAGTAGGTTATATGTCGTTATCTAAAAAATATGGTGTGGCCGTGTGGGTCTCAGTGTCTCACACTTAAACACTAATCATTAAGATAAACGTTTGAAGATAATATTATGCGTGTGCACTGTGACGTCATATATCCGAAGTTGGAACGGTGGCGTATGTTTTACGAGCTAAGGTGTCTAGATTAACACAAAGATTTTAATTATTAAATATAATATTTTTAACTGTTTTTTGTGTTTATGACACTGATCTGATAATTTTTCTAAATTATAATTTATAATATTATGCATGCAACAACAAGATATATTAAATTTTAAACCACACCATCATCTTAATATAAAATATAAATATATTTAGGAGTATGAAAAAAAATGTTGAAATACTATTTTAAGTTATTAAAATCATTGCGTAAATCAAACTACTTTTACACGTAAAAGGTAAAACAGGCGACTGCAGTTCAGTCGTCGGCTCTACTACGTAACACGAGCCACGGCTATTCATCAACTCTCATTATCTCGTTGAATAATCATTTTTTTAACTTCAGATTAACTTTTTTCATTATGTTGACTAAATTATACACCAATAAACTTAAAAAAAAAAAATTGTTTTGTGATGTCCTTTAACAATATTTAGATAATCAGTGGTTGGAGTGGCTCGAAATAAGTGGAGGGATGCGTTTTATATTTTATATTATTCTCATATTATACCTACATTGCCGCAACTATATTTTTGAGGCCCTTTATTGTCATACTCATAGTATTCAAACTTCATATTCCAGAAAAATAAATATTTATGCTATTTTATCTCATAATTTCAACTTACACCCTACGTCAAAAACTTTTGAAACCCACGGAGCAGCTTAATTGGAAGTAATGCAGGTTTATGGGAGAATAAAAATTGTTAAGGTCAACCAAAATTGTTATCAAAAATAAATCAATAAAGAGGTATTTCGTACCTACCTTATATAATTATGCAATTGTATTACTTTATTGGATAGTTTACAACTATTAAAAACAATTAAATACATAATCAATTTATATTCCCAAACATTTGTATTTATAATAATATACTAGCTATAGCAGTATAGCTGATCCTCGCACGCACTTCGTTGCCCGTAAAAAATTACAACTTTAAAAAAATTGTGATTTTTCAACTCCTTTTGGGTGCCACGCCTACCTATATAGTAGGCCATCCGACAATAGTATAATCGCGGACAATGTGCGACAGCTTATGAAGTAGGCAATGTGCAAAAATTTGATTTGGTGCATGCTTCTACCTGATTGTACCAATTCACCAATGTCAACCAATAAAATTATCAATACTAATTTCTACTAATTATTTTTCCTATAACTAATAGCAACTATTTATAAACAAATCTCAACATCCCCAATTGAGCAACTCAACGGGCTGGACCTATCGGAAACAATTGTGAATCTAAATCATCCCAGGAACCACTCAAACACATAAAAAAATTTCATACAAATCGGTCCAGCCGTTTAGGAATGCATAAGGGACACACAGACAGATGGACAAACTTTAATTTATGTATATTTCTAGCTGAATTACCCCGGTGTTGTCCTGAAAAAAATTGTGATGTCTGTGATATTCGCTTGTGATAATGCGAGCAGTATAATATCATGTAGGCAATCTATCTGAGGTAGATCATCGTAAAACCATCGTAAAACCATCGTAAAAATATAAGTTTTATTAAAAAACCCTTATATAAACCGATAATATTTCTATATACTTATATAAGGGGGATGCATTATTTCCTACAAAACAAGCGGAGGGATGGAAAATGTAAACTATAAAAAGTGGAGACATGCCAACCACTGTTGATAATCTTTACAACCTAAATTATACAAATTAGTGACTCAAATTAAGATACATATTGCTCGCTAAGAATACATATTTTTTAACTTTAATGCATTTAATTATTCACATTCTGCAATAGGTACCTATTGAACATTTGTTTTCCATTTTTACACGGTACACACGTACAGTACACGGCATTGAGCATTTGTTATCTATATAAAATATTTTATTGAACAATACATTAATGCAATTTTGTTGTTAAATAACAGATATGTATAGGTAGGTATCTATACCAGTCTTACAAATTTTAAAGTACTTACCTGTTCTACAGTATTATGTATAATATACTTGAGTGTCCAGTGGCCTACTTTATGTCCGTTTTATGACATGCTCACTGATTAGATTATCCTGCAATACATAATAATAGTTTTTAGACTCGAGGAAGCTAGTGGTTTTACAATGCAGGTGTTTATTTTTTTATTTTTCTATCCCGTATCCACAATTTCTACCAGAGGGAGTTCTTTGATTTCAACATATAGTACCTTATCTTTTAGCAAATTGGATCAAGATGGTACTTTAAATAGGTCATTTTTCGATTTTATCAATAGTTATTTAATGCCACAGCAAAAACCACCGAAAAATTACCAAAAACCGCTAAAAATTGGATTTTAATTTCTAACGCTTTGTTTATTACCATAGAAACGAATAAAAAATTATAAAATTATAATATTAATTCAACTTACATGATATATAATTAATGACAATATAAAATATCCAGACTGGCAAACCGTATCCGCTTACAATCGTTTTTTGTATACAGTGATATTATGACCTTAGAAATGACCTTAAAAATATCATATTAATTTTTTTAAGATTTTTTTAGGGGGCATTATTTAACACAATATTTAGCCATATTAAAATTATGAACATGAAATAATAACATACGAAATACGACCGTGATGTATAACAAGAACTCACTAATTATTTGTTATTTATCTGAGTACCTACTTGTGACATAATGAACAAATATGCATTAAAACCAACAAAAATGACCCAACAATGCTAAAAATACTCTAAATATAAAAAAATGAGTCTCCGCTCAGAATCGTTTTTCTTATACAATGATAGAATATCATTGAATTCAAGTAAAATACAATCCATTATACAATGACCCACTTGTAACCTACTGTACAGCAGAGCGACATCCACTTACCCGCTTTTTTGATTTTTTTCTCATATACTTAAATCTATTTTATTATCACTGGCCGAAGTTGTATAAAATATAGTATGATATAATACGTAGCGCGGCGTACTATAGTACAGAGGAAATATACTTTGTTTATACTTTATATATTAGAATTTATATAGGTAGGTATGAGTCTGATTATGAAATATATACCTATATTTGATAAATAAATTAATAATATTATGATTTCTTATATTTTATAAACGTTAAACTTATTAGTTGTTTTTATACACCTACTTAAATCAGTTGGTTGAATATTCAACTATTCTTATTAAGTTTAGACTTACCTACCTAATATCTAAATAGGTCTATCATTGTTTTTTTTTTATTATTATAATCGGTCCAAGGCATCCATGGTCATTTGACGTAACATTACATTACATTATTTTATTAATATTATTATACAGGATGAGTAAGGTATACGATCATACACAGATTACATTCACAAAGTTAATAATAATTAATAGTAACATTGATTGAAAGTAATATAGTAGAGAACACAAAGTAAATTTATGTATAACATCATGCGCAATAATATATAGAGTTAAATAAAGTGTCTGATGGACCAGTGTCTGATCAGTGATGGTGTTTTATCGCATAAAACGTGAAGAAATGAGCATTTATGTCTTGAAGAAAACGTAACACGGGGCCTGGCCATAGGCGCAAATTGGGGGGCTTGGGGGTGCTAAGCCCCCAAACTTAGCCGTAGCCCCACCCCCCAAGAACCTAGGACATAAATTTTAATATGCTATATTGCAATGGTCTGCTTGCCTTTAATATATTCAGCCCCCCCCCCCCAAGTCAAAAGTTGAAATTGCGCCTATGGGCCTGGCGTGGAGAGGTGATTGGCCAATGGCCGCAGCAGGGACTGGAACTGAACCTAAAAGAAAGCTCTTAAAGCTGCTTTTAAATAAAAATATCGGAAAATAACAAAGACAAATCCTATATAGTGTTTTACCACTAAATTGTTTAATAGGTAAATTCATTCTATACACCATAGAGTAAATAATATACCTACTATATAATAATAATAAAATGCATTGTTAACAAAACTTAACGTGTGCTAAACGTCTAAACGTAACAATAAATACAAATTTAAAATACACATTGCGCACTATATAACTATTAATTATTATTGTATATTGTATTTAAATTTTAAATTCCTGGGACCTGGATAGTAATTTAGTAATTAGTTGGTACCTACTGTAGATGTATAGATATTAGATACTAATATACTATTATACTAATAAGTAATATTATATTATAATAAATAGAATAATTAGAATATAAATATATGATATATCTATAAAGGTAGGTATTTTCAATTTCGCAAATCACACTATCACAGTAGTTGTTCAACGATGGCGATGGCGAATTCAAGTCGTTCCGACTTCAGCTGTCATTCGTGATTTTTATTCATTTAACCTGTTATCAGATCCGTTGTTATCTCCCAAAACGGCTGATCGGCTTAACCTCACTCGGTTACGTTTCGAAAGTTGTTTCGTAATCATAATAATAATAATACCATGTCGTCATCCAAGGTGTATTGATATCAATTATCAATGCACCAGCTTGTCAGATTGTGGTCGTAGTTCTCGTCATCATTTGCCATTATCACGCTTCACGCGGTTGCGGTCCGTTATTACTTATTACTTATTAGCCGCTTTGCCCCCTAGCCACACCGTACTTACGCAGATTCGTCGAGTGTCGACCGACCAGACTTCTGCTCGCTTGCTTTCGACCCGTGGTCGTCCCGGAAGTTCATCGTCGTCCCAACACACGCCATGCCGCCCCTGGCTACCGCCGCAAGACCGCTACCCGAAGAAGACGTCAAACTACCCGGCATCAACGCAGTCCTGCTCGGGCCACCAGGTTCGGGCAAGGGCACGCAGGTAGACTTCAATTTTCTTTTGTTAATTTTCTTAGGTATTTTTTTTTTCAAACACCTAAATGAGCAAACGTTTACCTTCTTCTATTCACTTAGACTTTTTGTTTTACATTTTTGTCTTTTGCAGGCGCCAAAACTGTTGCAAAAATTTTACTCATGCCACCTGTCCACAGGAGACATGTTGCGCTCCGAAGTGGCCTCCGGGTCGGAATTGGGTCAGAAGGTGAAACAAGTCATAGAATCAGGTAATTACCTACAATAGTCCTAATTGAAAATAGTCTGATACTCTTGCAGTTTGATTTCATGAATTTAACAAAACTTAATTTTATTTATTAATCAAACAAGACTAGATACGTAGGATAAGTTGTAAAGTAGTTGTATGTGTTTTTTACACAGCTTCTTCGGTTAAATCTTATGTAACCTCAGTGTAAAAAAAAAGTGGTTTAAATCTTGTTAATCATGTAATATTTTAATATTATTAAATTTACTTAAAAATAAAATGTAGATATTTTTAGATTGCTGATCTTAAATATTGTAGTCACTAATTATACATTTCAAAAACGTTTTACATATATGCAAAATAGTAATAGGCAACCGTTATGAAATCGTTGATCACACATCTAGTTTTGTATCAATTATTTAAATAAATATGTATCAGTAGGTTTACCTTTCATATTTATCTATTCATTTTTTTTTAAAGAGTAACATATTTAGCTACATTTTCTTTTTATTAATTGGAAGTCATATTATTAAGTATATTCTGTTTAGTTAGAACCATTATGATGATCAATTTTTGTCAAAGACAGTAAAACCCCCACCAATGTGTGCAGTAGGAGGATGACAAAGTTCCTTCTCAACATTTTTTTTTCAAAATATTCAGTAGATAGGATCTAATGTTTTTACAAATTATAAAATTAAATAGCAAGTAAGTATACTATGTAAAACTATTGTTATTCTAACTTTTTAAAGTTATTTTGTAGAAGTAGAATTTTATGACTAATAAACAATATATTATAATATATTCAAGTATTTTCTATAGGATTTTAAGATCAATGTACAATATTGTGTATTATCTTTGGAGGTTTTTTTCCCTAAGCGAACTGTTATTATTGCAGGTTATTTCAAAACCTACTTACTGTTGTGTAATAGTTTTTTTTATCGTTCTGGTTACAACTATAAACTATTACAGCACATTTTTGTTTAAATATATGTTTGTACTTAACCTATATTATATTAAAGTATTAAACACATATTATTATCATTACTATTATTATTATTTATTAAATAATAATACACATGTATTTAAAGTTTTTAAAATTATTATCATTGCTATGGATACCTTGAAACAATTATAAAATACATGGTTCGTTTGAACTGTATTAAAAATTATTATAATAGCATTGATATATATATGCCCATGTCATATTATATTATTATGAATTTAATAATTATAAAACTGCATTTATAAATTAATTATAATTTATGGAAGACAAAAATTATTAGCATTATAATTCAATTTAGGACTTGCATGGATTATGTCACTTCATGATACTTTCTTAAATTAAAATATTGCTTTAAATAAGTTTTAAATAATAAAACATTTTGTTTTATACTATTAGGCTTAAATTAGGTACCATTTATAATTTTTAAACTGGTTGTGCTCATAATCTGCTATAAATAATATATATTTAATAATTATATATTGTATAAAACAATTTAATTGAGAACATCATTAATGGGTGTCATATTATGTTATCCTCAAATATGTTTCACAATGTCTATGTATTTGTTTTAATATAAAATATTTGATTTTATCTCATAAGGTTAGTTGTATTTCTTAGGTAGTGAATCAAATGTTTTACAATTTTGTGTAGGTAGTTAAAAAAAATCATTTGTTACATTTTGTTATGATAAGATTGTTTAATACTTCGTTTAAATTAAGTTTTATATAAAATATTTAGTTAAAATTATTATTAGTTGCTATTATTTAATATGTATAGTAAATAATAATTTGGTTTTATTTTTTTTTTTCAATTCTAGGTAACCTGGTTAGTGATAATCTTGTTGTTGATTTGATTGATCGAAATTTAGATAGACCAGAGTGTAGGCAAGGATTCTTATTAGATGGTTTCCCAAGAACAGTACCTCAAGCTGAAAAAGTAAAAACAAAATAACCTAGTTATTTTCAGTAAATTAAAATACCTAATGTATTAAATTTCATTTTCAGCTGGACAATCTTCTGGAAAAACGGAAAACACAGTTGGACTCTGTGATCGAGTTTAACATTAGTGACAGTTTATTGGTACGCCGTATAACAGGGCGTTTGATTCACCCTGCCAGCGGCCGATCTTATCACGATGAATTCCATCCACCAAAAGTTAATATGACAGATGATGTGAGGTTTATTTAAAATATTATATATTACTTCAATAATTTAATTTTTAAACATAGTATAACCAGATATAGTTGTAATATAGATTCTAAAGGTTTGTTTGCAACTTTTAGATAACTGGCGAGTTATTGATTCGTCGTGCTGATGATAATGTAGATGCTCTGAAAAAGCGCCTTGAATCATATCATAAACAAACATCTCCATTGATAGATTATTATCAGAAAAAAGGTTTGTGTTAATTATTAGTTGTAATTAAAAATAAATATTTAAATAAATATGTTGTTCTAGGAATTCATTCTAAGGTTGATGCCTCTAAGAGTTCTGATGAAGTTTTCAAAATGGTAGAAAATATATTTTTGCGTTGTTCAAGTTCTGCCAATAAAGACAGAGTAATATTTGTTTGAATCATTCCAATTTTGAATTTTAATGTTTGATGTTTTCAAAATGTTGAACATACAAAATCATACAGTTTTCCATTTTCTCAATAATTTTAAGAACTATAATTCTAATAAAATGATCTGAAATTGTAAATCTTTTGTAATAGAAAATGGTGTAATATTCAGTGTTACCTTATTAACAAATAATAATTATTTTAGGTTTAATATAAACAAAAACCAGTGATTTTGGGAAGTAAGTATGGTGATTAAATTTAACATATTTGGTGTACTTATTAAGAAGCTTTTACGGGTATAATATATAAACATTTTGTTTGATTTATTTTAATTTTATATATTTTGTAGGTATATGTATGTACATAAAGTACAATTAGCTTATACAAATGTAAAAATAAATTTAATATTTACAAAGGTTACCTTTATTCTCATTTAGTGATTTTTTTCAGTTTATTATATTAGCATCCTATTTGTAGTACTAAAGTCTCAAATTTTTATCGGGAGTGAAATGTATTTTATGCAGTGAAACCTCTAAATACCTGACACTCGGTTCCTGAAATTTTGTCAGTATTCAGAGGGTTCAGATTGTAGAAAGTTTGTAGTTGGTTCTCAAGAAAATATCCGTTAATGGGAGGTGTCGGTTAGGGGAGGTTTCACTGTATGTATATTTGTAATGCTTTTAATAATTAATTATTTATTTTAGGATTTTATTAACGATTTCAACAGATGGTCCTACAATAAATAATAATATGTTAAATGCTCTAAGATATTCATATTGAAAAATGAAACACACCTCTTAACAATAAAATTAGCTATAGAAATCTGAAATTATAAATAAAATGGGAAATAGTTTTTACATTACCTACATTACTGGTATGTAATAAATGTTACAGCGTTTAACATAATAATATTATTATTATTTATTATAGAACTAGCTTTATTGGCCTTGTTAATAAAGTACCTAAATATATAATTAAATATAGTTATCTCGCTTGGTCTTGCTTATGCCAAAATTATTATTATAGTTAACTGTAAACTGCAACCACTCACAACCCTATAAATAAACAAAATAATTTTATTTTTATAAAAAAAAAATTATATTTTATTAATGGTTTCTTAATTTTTAGATTCTGAGCGGAGCGATGAATGTATTGGTTTTACAATGATGTGTGTTTTTATATTTTTATATTTTTATATTTTTATATTTTTGTGTCTGTCATCACGTTTTGGGACAGTAAAAGTGCTTCGATTTTCTTCAATAGTACCTTTTCTGATAGGAAAGTGAATCTAGTTGGTACTTTGGGGGGTCAAAAGTAAACATTTTCCAGTAGTTTTCACAAGCGCCGGGAAAAAACAACATAAAAATTAAGGAAAAACGGGAATTTTTACGAAAAATTGGTTTTCCAAAAAATCGATTTTGGTTATTGGTGTAACTCTAAAACAAATGAACGTATATACATGAAATTTTCACTGGTTGTTTATATTTGCATTTTCTATACACGATAACATTTTCAAAATATTTTGATTTATTTTGAACTGCTTAGGGACATTTTCATTTTCCATTTTTTTTTAGTTTTTTTTCTAAAAATATCAATAAAATTTTATTTGTTGGTTGCGAAAGCTTGAAAATTTAATAGAAGGCTCCTAATATGTTGTTTCAAAGGCAGATGAAAAATATTAAAAATCCTTAGTCACAATTTTTTTTTATAAGCATTTAAAGTTCAAAAATTGACAAAATATGGAAAAATCACGAAAATTAGCAAATTATTTTGAGTTAAGAATTCGTAAAAATTTTTCTTTTTAAATCTAAGATTTGAAAATGAAACACAAGATTCCTTATAAGATTATCTACCTTTATCAATAAAAAAATCTCTACCGGACAGTCAAATTAAATTTTTATGAGCGTTTGAAATTCAAATTTTTACAACATTGGATTTTCACTCGATTTCTCATGTAGCGATTTCCTTATTTTGTTGTAATTCAAAAACGAATAACTGTAGATACATGAAAATTTCACTGAATGTTTATATTAGCATTTCCTATACACCATACAATTTTGAAAATAATTTGACTCTTTTTGAGCTGTTTACGGACATTTTCAGCTTTCAATTCTTTTAGTTTTTTTTTTTATAATTGTCAATAAAATTTTATTTGGTGGGCCAAAAAGTCTGAAAATTTAATACAAGCTTTCTTATATATTGTTACAATATCAGTTGAAAAATTTTAAAAATACATAGGCACGATTTTTTTTTTATAAGCATTTAAAGTTGGAATTTTGACAAAATTTATCAAAATCTCGAAAATTATCAATCGTTGGAATTAAAAAATTATAAAATGTTCAGTTTTTATAACTAAGAGTTGAAAATTTAAAACAAAGATTCTCTTAAATAATTCATACTGTAACCAAAAAATCTAAAAAATATATAAACACACTTATTTTTTACAGACATTTTAATTTCAAATTTAGACAAAATTTCATATTTAAACCAAGAATTACGATTTTAGTTATTTTGTTGTGATTGTATAATATTATTCGTGGGTACTTGAAATTTCTAAAGTAATCTACTATATATATCTATGATAGTATCAGAGTTTGTTGTTGGTGTATAACGCGTTATAAGTACCTAATGGATATTGTGATATGATTAATTTGGAATTCATTATAGGTCAATTTTTTTTAATACCATAGATATGTATATAATATGTCTCATACCTAGAAGGACATACCGTCTCCGCTCAGAATCGTTTTTCTTATACAATGATATTATATCATTGAATTCAAATTTAATACCATCCATTATACAATGACCCACTTGTAACCTACTGTACAGCAGAGCGACACCCACTTGCCCACCTTTTTTTTCTTTACACTTAGTTTGCTTAGATGAACGTTATTAATTCTTTTGAGCACAATTATTTAATATATTTCAAATTGGAATTTCCATGTAATCTTTTAGCCTTAGTATAATCCAAAAAAAACAATATTTGGTTACACTATAGGTTGAATCTGTATGATAATTTTATTATATGTGAATAGTGAATGTTATTATTTTTGAAGTTATACTTCTTTACGCACGGTAGTGAGGAAAAAAAAGCGAACGGGCGGCGCGTACGAACGGGCGGCCGTACGAACGCGAAAGCGTACATGTCCGTAAATAAATAAATATTGTCATGGTAATGTTGTTTTATTATATATTATAATATATATACAGGGTGTCCCACCGAGATCTGACAAATGACATAACTTTTGCTATATACAAAATTTAAACATTATTTTTTACTTATATAATTTATTGCCACTCGCGCTACACGTATAATATACAAAAAATTATTTTTATTTTTTAATACTGAAAATAAAAAATGTATAATTTGATTTAACATTTTTTATATAAATTTAAAATAGCCAATTTGTGAACCTGAATATAAGAACAATTTTTATGGTAAAAACATTTATATAAGTCAAGTAGTTTATTTTTTAGAATTTTTTTAAATATCTATAATTTTTTTATTAAATTATTTTGGAATATAATAACTTTTTTAAAAATATTATTTTTAGAAATTTGCTGACATGAGTATATTTCTTAAATTATTTGGTAATCACATAGTACTAACAATTTTTGTCATACGTTTAAGTAGCAGTTTTGTTTTTTTTTTTTTTGTCAGATCTCGGTGGGACACCCTGTATATATCTGTATATATAAAACAGTAAGCTGATTGACTGCTATCAACGCACAGCTCAAACCATTGGACGGATCTGGCTGAAATTTGGCATACAGATAGCTATTATGATGTAGACGTGGGCTAAGAAAGGATTTTTCGAAATTCGCATTTTAAATAGGTGCTCAAACAGGGACATTGGGATTCAAGATGGAAATTGGAAATTTTATTTTTATTTATTAACAGTTGCCATTGGTTACAGTCTACATTAGAAATTAGCATTTATTTATTTGGGCAGATCAGGTACAAGCTTGCATCAAATCAAATTATTGAACATTGCCTACCAGGGTGGCTGAGTTGCACTTACCCCAGCAAGTTACACCCAAAAGGAGTTCAACAATCATAATTTTTTTAAGAGTTGTGATTTTTTACGAGCAACCAAATTTGTTATATTAATCCACCGTATTATATCAAAATAAACTTGGTATAACTTTGATAATTTAGAGTTAAATCATACACTTCCGTACAAACAGCACGGGGCCCGCGATCTACCGCAGGTAGATTGCCTACCTGATAATGTACTGCTGCGATTCAGAATTTTTATTCCGGGCAACGGAAAAGATAAGATAAATTTTGAACACCATACACCGAATATTGAATAACGAATTGAACAAAGTTTGAGTCATAACTCATATTGAGTTGATACATTTAAAGGGCGACGAAGTGCACGGGATCAGCTAGTATTATATATTATAATCGGGCCATACTAATTAATATGAATAATTAATGATCGATTATTATTTATTTTTATTATTATTATTAGTATTCACTGACAAATCTACTGTCTGGATAAAAACAATACTACAAACAATTATCCATCGATCTGTCGAATAAAAATATAAAAAAAATAATAAAACTATCAATGATAAATAATTCCGGATACTTCTCCTCATTTTTTAAATTAATTAATATTTTTTTCTTTATTTTTCACTCACTCACGTGTACCATTCAAAAGAAGTTTAACTTCCCGCGCGCGTACTGGTAACACACATGGTTTTTTACTTTTTGAATGTAGTGGTGTATCTTAATATTGACTATTTGGGGAGACCCCGTCCCTTATCCCCCCATATAGCGCTTATATGCTATAGGACACTACTTAAGAAATTCAAAAAGATTCACACTCTTAAAAAATGGTCTTCGAGTATATATAATACTTTCAAAAAAAAGAATTTGTATTATTCCATTATTTAATAAAAAATGTGGTTAAGTATGTTTGTTTACATTGTGCCTATGTATTTTTAATATTTTTCAACTGCTATTGTAAAAATATATCAAGAGCCTTGCATTAATTTTCACTCTATTTTAAAAATTTTACTTTTACCCCCCAAAGTACCAATTAGATTCACTTTCCTATCTGAAAAGATACTGTTGAAGAAAACCCAAGCGCTTTTATTGTCCTAAATGGTGATAAAATAAAAACACACACATTATTGTAAAATCAATACATTCATCGTTTCACTTAGAATCTAAAATGATCATGGTACCATATTATACATGTTGGGTAAGACCATTGAGTTATATTTATTATAAAATAAAAAACTGGTTTACCTATACGATTATACTATTTTAGAAATTTTATTCAAAATGTTCACTGTTTATTAATAATAATTTGATTAAATAATATCAGTTTACGAAATATGATTTTCAATTCATATACAATAATCATACGAGAGTTTTTTAATAGTAGGTAATTACCAATAATATGTATAGTATACATTGTATACTACAAGTTTGTTGACAAGAAAACGTAACATATCCAGAATGTAATTTTACATTTATATCTGCTTGGTAAGTATAACCTTGATGTAGGTGACATAGTATAGCGCAAAAAATGGAGAGGGGCTTTAGGGGCTAAGCCGCCCCCCCCCAAATGTACATAGCCCTCAAATTTCCTACATTTGGTTTTAAGCTTATTCAATAGGTATTATCAAAGTGAGGCTTAAACCCCCCCCCCCCCCCCCCCCCCAAATCTCAAACGCTATTTGCGCCTATGGTATCGCCTCTTCATCACTATCTTTTTTATTTTCAAATTGTATCTTGAACGGTTATCCTCCATAATTTGACACGGATAACCTGTTACAGGTCGTCTAATAACTGCTCCATCATCAATATCCAAATTAACCGAGTTAAGATAATAAGATGTATGTAGAAACAGGACTGTCCTGAGTGACTGATTCATAAAAACGCAGAACCGAACCTATTGATTTTAAATTTTGAGTTTTGATTAATATTATAATTTCACCGTGCTCTAACAAAGGATTATGCAAAACTTAGATTTTAAGTGGTTAAAATCGGCAAAAAATAAATTTGTACGTGTAAATTGTATACCTATAAGCAACGAACTTTATTATTGTTAGTAATAAATTAGTAATTATTATTATTATTTCCATGATTACCAATATTATTATTTATTAACATTATTAAACATAGTCGGTATATTATAATTACAATTTTTTTCCATTTTAACTGAATTATAACGTTTATTATTCGTTTTATTAACTAATTATTTAAAAATGTATTTATTCAATAAAATTATTAAGATATTTTGTAAAAAATGTCATCGATTGAAGAGATTTTTGTCAATGGAATGTAGACACCTCAAATAGTTGTACCAATTATCGGTGATGGTGCCTCGTGCCTGCCATTCCCATTTAATATAATTTAATTTGTTTAACACTCAAGAAAGATGCCAGGAGAATAGGAGATCCGAAATACAATGATTTGAAATTGGAATAACTTTATTACTATAGGTATGTCTTACAATTCAAATAGTGACAACTTATCCACTACTGACAACTAATCCTACTGTCTATGGTGGTTATTGCAAATTGGTTGCATCTGGTAATATTTGAATTTTCCCATTTTTATTTGAAATTTATAATAATAACAATCTTTACGTTAAATTTGGTGTAGAATACATTCCCAGTAACTGGAAATATTAGTGGTCACTTTTATGTTTATTTATCTATTTCTAATAATTTTAATGTTATAGAAAATGTTATTACTGTGTTGCATTTACTGCAGCGTGTTAGAAACACCCAAGAGAATGATAAATGAAACAATCATAATTTTTTTAAGAGTTGCCAGTTTTACGGGCAACAAAGTGCACGGGATCAGCTAGTAAACTATAAAGAGATATAAAAGTAGGTTAACCAGCTAGCATGTATACAACGTAATCATTTATTATACCTAATATAATTTATGTTTATACAACCGATATTAAGAAATAAAAATTTAGTTTCTATAGTGAAATTGATATTTCATGAGTAGGTAACCAACATATTTTAATATAATATTATAAAATACTAATAAAATATAGATTTAAACGTTTATAATTTATTATTCATAAGAGGATTATTTCCAAGACCAAACACAATAAATATCTTAAACACGCGCGAGTGACAATATTACACAAACGTGCGTGGATAAGCATATTATATTAAATAGGCACTGAATATATAAATATATGTATACGAAATATTATAATATAAGCATAGGTATTAACTATTATTCCTATAAACAGTTATACTAAAGGATAATAAATATATATCTATATGTAATATTTATATAATAATATAATATAATAAGTACAAAGTTGACATTCACGGACAATGATCTTCGCTAAACATTGTTCGGGGTTGCAGAATCGCATCGACACACACAGCAAGACGGGAATAAAAACCAATCCATAAATATCCCTTTGCAGTCATTGTCGGGATCGTACGCTAACAGCCTGTGCCATTTATACTTTTGTTCGCATCCACAGTCCCCTGAACAGCGTCCGGTGAGCGTCTTACTGTAAAAATAAAAATAATTTTTGTAATTTTTGCTCATGCTATGTTTAAAAAATTTACTTTATACCCGTAACCTATCTATGGGCTATGGTTAATGGTTGTCGATCGTAAATAGAAAAAACGTACATATTGATATTCTATATTTCTATTTAGGTAGGTATATAATATATATTATACTAGGGTCTAGGAGATTATTTTAAAAATTGAAGGTAAACACTAATATTATTCTCGAAAAGTATTCACGTTCTTGGGAATATTTTTTTTTATATTCTTGACTCTTGAGTCATAAACTTAACAAAACCAGATTTTAAAAAAAGAATGATATTTTATTTAAGTTCTTACTTTATCAAATGTCAGCCTATATTTTTAATTTCATATTCAAAAGCGGAGTAAACTAAAATATTCAATACGAATACATAAAAATGTAATTTCAAACAAGTGTTTACTTAGTTATACGTTTTACCTAACTATTTAAAGTTTAGATTAGCAAAGGGATATCTAATCCGAAAAATGTTGGTCCACTATTCCGCTCATATATACTTATACTTTACTAGTTAACTACCTACTAGTTAAAAATGTGTATCTTATATTCTGGAATTCTCAGGAAATCATCAGCTTTGGAATAAAAATAAATGATTTTTAAAAAATGTTGTTTTGAAACGACTTCAGAATTTCAAATTATGTATAAAAATATTTCCAATAATATTAGTTCGTACCTACTCTATGAGAAAATGGGTATTTATCTTTTTAAAAGAATCACCTTGTTTACAATACAGAATGGATCCACCGGGCTTTTAGAATATTTTTTTAACAGGAAAATTTAAAAACAAGGTGGTCATTCTGAATACCAACCTATTAATATAGGTATATTATGATAATATGATGAAAAAAGAGATAGGTAGATTGTTTGATTGCAAGATGTTAATTTTTTCAGTCCAATACACTCAAAATGTTTTTAAATTTTAAATAATGGTTATAATACAATTTTGTTCTTTTCTAATCAATAGTGGTTTATTAGTATTTTTAATTTCATATTACGAAGCAAACCGATTGAATGTTGAGTTTATTAATAGTTAGAACTTTAGATTTTAGAATCATTTAAAGCAATAGGTAAACATAAAATAGCAACACGCAAACATTGTTGTATAAAACACAACAATTTAATGAACGAATAATAAGATCTACGTCAGAATATTTGTAGTCTGTTTGGTTCACATAAATTTGTTATTTTGTTTTTTGCTTATTTGTATCAACTCACGTGCAAACTTCTTGATGAATAGCTTGTTCGAAGTGTTCGGTGTTAACGATCGCTCTGGTCTTACCCACGCTGTTCGAAGCCCAATACGGAGTGACCACTTCTACTTTAGATTCGCAAGAGTCTACCCTGTAAAATTAAACTCCAATATTACTAATATGTACATGGAATCAATTGTATATAAAAAGTAGAAGTTAATTTCCATTTGTCCCCTAAAGTGATATAATTGACCTTATTATTAGCTTCTGACATTAATCAGATATCCGAACGGAAATGGACACACCTGCGGGAGGAGTCTTAACTTCTTCAAAAATTCAAATGTTTTTCGACAAGACAATGACTTCATTATCTTATGCAAACACGATATTTACTCTACTTATACAATTTAAAAAGTTATAAGCCATAATATTACGTCTAAATAATGCTTTAAGAATGTTTCACTTTACTTGGAAACAAATACATTTTATGTTCGCAACTGACCAAAATAATGAAGTAAATTGTTAAATGATTCTAATTAGGTAGGTAGACTTATCTTAAAGCATTTATAAGGTTTGACCACTTTGACGTTTTAGGAAATGTATTAGATAAAACATTGCGTAATGAAATTATTATTTTAAGTTATATTATACATAGATTATAGGTAGTAGGTATAGGTGTAAAAAATTGTTGGTATACATTCTAAAACGGTTTTGTATATTCAGTAGGTAATAAAATAGGTAGATATGAAGGAATTATACTCAATTATGTTACCCCATGGAATTTCATTAACACAATATTATTGTATCATATTAAATGTGGTTTTTATTATATTACTGGTACGAGGTGTCGAGGTACTAGTCAGTAAAAAATAAAAATAGACATGTCTAATAGACACATTTTTAGTTTTTACAAGATATTAATGAATTTGTTATTATTTTACTTGAAATTCTAACGTTAATTATTTTATTAAATAATATTAGTTATACTCTTATAATTTATCATTAAGATATTATATATTTAGTTTTAACAGTTTTAAACAAATATTGATACTTTTGTCTGGTAGGTACTCAGATTTTTTTAATTTAATGGCGTTGGGTACCTTAAAAGTATAGCTTAGGATAAAATATGTCCTAGTTGACTTTCCATAGGGCCTAGGCCCTAGGGCTACCACTAGTTTCGATGACAAGAAACCATTTACCTACTGAACGTTGTACACCTTGAAACTGGCCAAAAGAACGAGTAAACAATAAAAAAAACATATTATTTGTGGCTACCCATACTGTAGAAACGTTCCTAATTATATTTTTATGAACCACGAATGTTAACCACCTATGTTACGAAAACAATTAATACAGTATGAAACAACATTATAATATTATGTCGAAATGTCGAATTGTTGAGTGTTGACGTTGGTATAGGTTGAGAATATTATTTATTAGGGTACTATTATCTACTGCAGTTTTAAGAGCATCAAACAAAACTTATAGATAATTCAGTATTCTCCATTAGGTATTTAGGTACATAAATTAATAACCACAGACTTCTGGTGTATATTATACTATATTACAATATGGGACTTCGTGACACTCCCGGTTTCTGTTTATGTCAAGGGTTATTAGGTGTATACTTATGTCTTATTATGTATGCACAGGCACAGTGGTCCAATGAATTTAATATCTGAATATCTGATGTATATAGAAATGAAGTAGGCGGTGGTAATAATAACACTAGTATTGTGTTGAACACATTGGTAATACCTATCTATCAGTTAATGACTCATCGGCAGAAGTCAAGTACATAATATTTTTAATACCTATAGTTAACTATCTATACCTAATATAATATAAATTAGTATTGATGTTAAAAAAAAAATGCGTACTTATTATAATGGTTCGTATGTAATTATATTAGGTATTAATTTAGTATAACTAGGTAGTACCTTCCAGAATCTGCGGGCTGGCCTCTGGTCGGAAGCTTATTCGGTTTCGATTGATTGTCCGAAAAACTAGAGTCCTGTCTTCTTTTCCGAGATGTCGATCTTTTTGCCTTGGGAAATGGCCCGTTCTCCATCATTTCGAAATCGCCATACATTCGTTTCATGAGCGCTTTATTTTCATCGATAAATCTGTCGATTCGGTCTCTAAGTTTAACAAAGAAAAAAAAATAGTACAAATATTTTATAATTATATACTTAGGAACTTTTGAAATCAAACTTTTTTAAATGTAAGCAAATTTATCTTTCGAATAACAATTTAGACCGTTTGCTCAGAGTTCTAATCTCTGTATTATAAGTAGACTTAAATCACGGACACTGATGTCATAGTCCGTGACTCGCGAATATAGTAAAATTGTGTGTTTATCTTTCGCTTTCATGTCGAATAGTGATGTTATTTCAAATATCCCGGACAGTATTGATTTATTGCAGAGGAGAGAAAAAACAAAAGACAATAATTAATTGTAATATTCGTGTGCTTACAATAAAAATTATCTAATAAATAAAAAATGTTTAAAAATATGTCTATTATAGTATCCTTGAAAACATATTATATTTTTTTATTTTACCACGGATACAATAATATATATGTATAAAAATCACGAGGGTAGTTTAGTTACTACTTACTTACACTGGGTAACTTTTTCCTGCTGTCGGACAAAACAATTGGTGATTTCTTTTAATACACGGAGTCCCACGAATCACATCTCCTCCAATTTCATATCCTAAGGCAAATGAAAGAGCAGTCCAAAATACCTATATAAGTAAATATACGAAATTTCATTAGATAATTTTCATCGTACGATTATTATTTTCTATTTTTTATCCAAACAATACAATAATAGATACTATAAAGTCTATACAAACGCGTATTCAAAAAAATAAAAATAATAATTAGAAGTCTTGCGAAGTTAGCCCCCCGACTTGGCCCGATCCACTGCAAACCTATGCCAATATTTTGCAACTAAAATAAGTGTAGAAGGATCTATATTATACACGTGTATATCATATGTCGTTTATATGCCATTTATATGCATGGTATATTAATTTTTATAATCGATTTTAATATTACGTGTAGCCGTGTAGGATTATCTGGAGGGAAAATAGTTGTATCCTATATTGTGATGTACCCATATGAATATATCATATATGTCTATATTATGTGTTAATAATTAGATATAGGTATATGTTAGCGTGACGATGATGATTATACATATTTCTCCTTCCTTTTAGAATTTCTTTGAAATACAAACCTTCATAATATCATTATACTTATATGACTAATAAAATTGCTCAAATTACTGTTTGTACTATATACATAGGTATTTACACTATTCTATAATAATTAGACTACATAAATTTAAATGTTTTAATTTTTTTTATTCATATTATCTAACGATTGGTAACAGTAAAATATTAAAATGTATGAAGTATTTCTAACATAAAGATTGTTAGGTATGAAGATGGTAGATACTAGGTACCTATATGTTAGGCATATATAAATTAATTGTATTTGTTTGACGAATCTCATGTTAAAATTGATTTATACCAATTATTACATTTGTTGTTGCCTGCAAATAAGATAATTATTAAAAATCATAATGGTGATTTATAAATACGTATATGTTAAATATATTAATCATTAACTATACAAATTATAACCGTTTTACTAAAAAGTATGAACCTACCTATACTACCTAATTACCTACTACCTATACAATTATTATATTTAATCAATGTGGACTGAATTTATTTGTGCTTATTTAATTGATTGAATAACCATGAACGTATTTATTTTAAAATTGTAAATCATTTTTTAATACAATGATAATATTCAATCGAAACATTACTTATGAATTTATAAATATTCTCAGTATTTATCGAAATAAAAGGTGCAGTTGAATGTTGAGTATCTATAAGTTAAGGATAGATTGATCAATTTATCAATTGATCTAACTGGAATGTGTTGATTTTACAATGTGTGTGCTTATAATTTTTGTTGTGACTAAAGACTTTTTTCTAGTAGAAAAAATTACTTCATTAGAGGTTCCTGGTAGGCTGTAGCAACATGGATCTAGTTGGTACTATAGAAGGTAAAAATTGAAAATTCTCAGTAGTTTTTAAATCGTGAAAAACGTAAAAAAAATACTAAAATGTTCTAACATTTTAATATTATAATTTACTATTAAAATAATTATTGGGAACTTTGATTACCGAAAAGTTAGATCATCTTCACTAAGAATCTTTTTTTATCTTATAGGTACAACGGTTTAACATTTAATTCAAATTTAGTATATCCATGACAGTATCTACAACCAAGCTCAACGACGAAGTAGTACCTGCACCGACTCCTATTGTACAATATAATGGTTACCTCTTTTTTTAAAATTGTGTTTTTTAAATATAGCCAGTTAGGGTATTCATATAATATTTTAGGCTATATAGTATAAAGTCAATAGAGAGTAGGGACTAGGGTATATCTATGTAACTATGAACAATACGCAGACACACAGTGAATACAATTTTAAATTATAATTTTGTTAGACAATTTGCTGACAAGTGTGAATTTTTAACCTATAAATAATATATTACGCTTAAAATAATTTTATGTAATTATATTATACGTCAAAAATAAAAAGAAAAAATTTCAAAGACTCAGTATTCACATTGGAAAGCACTTGGTTATCACAGCATGATGTCTGTTTTGATGTCTACATTGACCATAATAAATTGTTTTGAAAAGAAGATATACAAAAATAAGGTAATTTGTAGAAGAAACATCTATGTAAATTGGTGGATTTAATATTAAAAAATCTATAGCACTTGATATTTTTCTCTACAGGGAAAATGTATGAATCATAAATATATTTACGTTAATTAGTTACAATGACAACGAAACCCTTACGAAAAATTGATCGTAAACAAAAATTCTAGTATCCAGCCCAAAAAAATATTTATGTTAAAAAATAAGAGTAAACATAGGTAGAGCGTGTTATTGATATTTTTTGCCACTACACGGAAAAACAATGAATCTTTGATATGTTTTTGTGGGTTCGTAATAGGATTTTTGGCTTTCAGAATTCGAAGTCATAATTACAAATTTTAAAAATTTAATTTATAAAGTGTTCTGTTGTAACCAATAAATTCGAACAAGTAAAAAGTAAAACGTAATCATATGGTTAAAATATAAAAACATATAATTAAATTATAAATAATTTTACAATCGAGGTTGCTAAGGTAACGTAATTGTATTAGGAACAACCTAGGTACTGTAACGTGAAATTGACAACGCGTAATCGGTCGGAAAAAAATTTGTTGTACGCAGACCAAAAATGTATCTATAATCTATGTTAATATTATATAAAGAAATATATGTTATGCAAGGTTCCTACGTATTATTAAAGTAGTACCTATCCAGACGATTTTACCAAACACGTAAACATAATTTTGAGTTTTATAAAATTACTCTAGTAAATTACTGTACTTCAAATATAACATTATATCATAATATATGTGCCTATTACATGTGCTACATTAATTTCATAAATTGGTAGAATAGTAACTAAGGAAGAAAATAACTCTAAATAAAATGAAAGAAAATCAGAATTTAATTTAAATAATAATCGTACATAGACCAGAGGTACTCAAGCTATAATATATTCTTCGCGTTTCCCTGGCTCCTGGGGTTCCACTGAACATTCAAAATCATAATCAAATTCAATATTAAACGTTGTTTTTTAATGATCATTGTGTTTTATGATTTTTTTTTTTTTATGGTTTAAATTTGACATTCCTGGTTTTTTTTGGCTCCGTAGGTTTTTTAAATGTTTCTGTGAACAACAGAACATAAAGTGCTTTCTTATAATTGTTTTATCTAATTAATCATAATCAAATAAACAAATATACTATATATTCGTTACCAAATAAAATTTGTTGACTAGTATTAGTATATTTTAGCGAGGTCATTATTATGTACATTAGATAAAAATGTAAATATAATTCGAGTTGAAAATATTGGAATGTTCACATAAAACACAGTGTGGTAATGCCATGCCGCTTTATCGAGGTTAAATAAATACCTTACGTACTACCTATTAAATATCAATAAGTACCCGAAAAAAATTGTATGGCCATTATATAGTTATAGGTGGAATCCATTAGTGCCTACTGCCTATCCATAGTAAGTTGTATAGGTTAATGGTTTTATTATCACATCACATCGTCACTGGTCTTTTCCAAAACTGGCCTATTTGTTTTCTGCCACTACTCTGCATATCCGTCAAATTATAAAAACAATAATTCTTCTTCCGTCACTATGATAACTGTTTTGATCATGGGAAATATAATATAGATCAAAAAATAAAAACTTTGAATTAACTTTGTTTTTAATCCTCTACTATTTTAGATGTGTATTGTATATTATAAACCAGCATGTTAACTATTGTCAAACGTGGTAATAAATTATAAGTTTTTACACTTTATATGGAAATCAATTTACACAGTTATTCAGACTGTCTAAAAAAATGATTAGGTTTGAAATTTTATAATATACTTGGCCGACTCACTCTGCTTGCCAATTTTCTCGTAATATGTTTTGTCTAACTGTCTATATTTTATAAGATACTAATATTTTGCAGTATACCATTCGAAGTATATTCCTATAGGTTCACATTGAAAAAACTGAAAAATAGTAATTTAAATAATTTAAAAATATTATGATAAAGGTATATTGTTAGATTTTACAGTAATATATAATTATTTAATTTTTTTATATAAACATTATTTATCACAATTGTTTGATATCGGCAGTTTTCCGATTCGAATATCTATACGTTGATTTCATACTGTTGATATTTTGGAATTGACTCTTCATTATGACAAAATTATTTTTCATTACAATACATATTATGTCATTTTGTGTGCATAATATTTTAAAGAAAAAATTGTAGGTATATAGGTTATTAGTTATTATACTATAATGTTAAATATTAACGTAAATTAATTCACAAAATAGATATACACATCTATCATAATATTTTATAAGAGGCAAAAAAAGGAATGCCATTTTTCTAATTTAGTGGAAAAGGGTATATTTGGTTAAAAATGAAAAGGTAATTTTTTGAGGGAACCAGTGAACCCAGACGCCAATTATAGCACCATATAAATAATAATAGTAATAATAATAATAATCCAGAATTGTAAGAGGAATATAAATCATTATTTGAACTTGACATTTGTATTGCTATTGTTTGGTACTGATTAAAATAATCAGGGCTTATTATAGTACTAAGGATTTTTCTTAAGTGCGCTTCTATAGTGATTAATGACGGTCAATTGAATGGATAATGTAAAAGAGATAGCAGAGAGCTACCGCCTACCGCACATGACACCGATCTGTAGTAGATGACTAGTATTGACTAAAAAGTAGTTAATTAGTTTTTGTCCATTGTATATGATTATCCATATCATTAATCACTGTTTAAACCTTTTTCAATTTGTAAGTTTTAAAATTAAATTTAAGGGGTAGATTAGAATAGAGTCAACATTTGATTAAGTGGGATGATCGATCTCAGTTAAACTTCATAACAAATTAAAATATATTGTCAGATTTGTTATCACATTAATAGTTTTCTTAGTACGATAAACAATAATATATAGCCATAAAGGCATTAAAAAAAAAAAAAAAACAAATGGTCGGTATCAAATTCCCTTAATAAAACAATCCTGGACGAATTATCACGAATAAGAAGTGAATATTGGTCGTAGGTATTTAGCACAGCGACACAGCGTACCTATTGGCTATTAATGCCTCGTCAAATAATTATAACAATAAAAATATATAAGCTGCTTTATAACATTGAATATTGATAATGTAGGTACGTGAATTAAATTCATTTAACATAGGTACTTAGCTAGAAATATTTAATATTTAAATATTAAGGTATTGACGACTGCTGTTTGGAGCACGTTCAGAAAATAAATTATGTGAGGTTGTGTTTTTGTACAAACATTATACATTATGATTTTGATTTGCGTCGGGCAGAAGGTAGACCAATTAGTCATTAGTGAGGTTGGATTTAATATTAAAGTGAATATACCTATGATCAAACTTAATGGTAAAAAGTAAGAACCATTATTTGTGTTTGTTGGATTTTTATGGTATTTTAAGTTATACCTCACTAATGTCATTAGGCCTGGACTGTTTGGCTTTGGCTGTGGAATTAATGTTCACTCGTAAGCATAGTACATAATAATAAAAATTCTCTAGAATAATACTTTGGTTTGTTATTTGTAAAACAGTCAACTAATAACAAAAATATCAACTATGCAAAACATATTTTTCAATTCGCATCTAGCTTTAAAATTAAGCAAAATATAACACAAATTTGCTTTAGAATAACTAATAAGCCCTGGTAATATTATTTTATGAATAGAAAACGAAACAAAAATGACCAAAATACAATTTGTTCACAAAACCGTAAATTGCGGAAATCTTTTTCACTATTTACTTGTTTTTTACAATTTTTGTTTTCATAATAAATTAAAAAAAAAAAAAACCTTTTTATAGAGCATCTGTGTGTTAGTGGTGCTATATAATTTACAGAAAATGGTTTGTAGAATTTTCACTGTTCGGATATTCATCGATTGCTATTTATTTTATTTCTCTCGTTTCAACGATCGTCTTTGTTAGATCATAGTCATCATTAACCTACATATTATTTATACCTAGTCATTAGGTTCTATGCCATTTGACATAATATTAGGTATATAGGTATACTAGTTATATTATAATATGTATATTGTTGACACATTTAATTAATTATAATATATACTTAAATAACATATGCCGAAATACAGCATTTTAAAGTTTTCCTGTACAGAGAATATAGAGGAGTTAAAAAAATATTATACAATATATAGGTACATTTTATAGGTACCAGTACATGAGTAAAAATATCGTAAATTCCTATTAAAAATTGTAACATTTTTTCTCTGGTACTCAGGGTTTACCGTTAAATAATTATTACGTAACTGTCAGTAACATGCAATTGATGTAAGCTAATTGATTTACTTATTACTATGTGCACTATATGTGTAGGTATTAATTATAAACATTTGCACATACGTACCTATTTTATGTAGGTACGGTTGTCAGAAATTACGTAACTTAATATTATTTTCTCCCTTTCTTTTCTAATACATATGTATTTAAAAAGGTTTTAGATTTCAGAGATTTAATGACTACAAATAATAAATATATTTTTAAAATAACTTTAAATTCTTTCAGTCTTAAATTAAAATTTTTTTCTCTCTAGCCATTGGTCGATTATAAACTATAATTGTTTTTAAATATTAATATTATTTGTTTATAGTATATTATATTTAAAAAAAAAACAATCACCATGTAAATGAGATAAGCACAATATTATATTATACTGTACATTGCTTAGAAATTACAATGCGTACACGTTTACACGAGTTATGACTAAATTATTAGGCATGTAAAAACATTTATTATTGGATAGGTTAGGTATATTTAAATTATATAGGGCAGAATTCTGTAGAAATAAATATTAAGAAGTTTTGCAAATCATATTGACACTTATTTTTCTCTGTCACGTACCCAAGAACAATAGCAAGTGAAAATTAAAATTATTTCAAAAATTCATTGATGACAAACAGGTAAAATATTTGAAAACTTGAATACTCAGTCATAACTCATAAATTTAATTGAAAATATTAATAAATAATAATATAAATAACATGGTTACTTGCTATTATACCTGGTTACGTTGTTTCAAAGCTAGAAGTAAAATGGAATTTCAGAATAGTTTGAGCGTTTTATTAATAATAGTTCTTAATGCAAAAATCAAATAAATAAAACAATAATTTTAAAATCTGTAATATTCTTATAATATTATTTATTAGGCCCACCCAATGGTCTAGGTTAATTACAAAAAAAATGTATTTATTAGTTTCATAATTAATTTTTAAAATATCAGATTAGACATGCCATTTATGTATATTATGTTGTAGGTATGAAATAAGTAAAAATTGATGATTATACTTTGGAATCAATAATAACAAAATATGATTCCTAATCTTCTTATTAAAAATAAAGTCGATAGGAAATTGGAAATTGTTTTCGTTGAGAGTTATATCAAGGCAAAGATTACCAAAGAATGAATGAAAAATTAAATGTATAATATTATAGTTTTGTTTTCTTGTTGATAGTCAAATAAAACTATAAAAATGAAAACTTTTCTACCGTCATCCATTATCCATTTTCATAATGCAATGTAGACATCTTAGCAATCAATAAAAATGTCATTAGTCATTACTAAGTGGAGTATTACTATTAATTTATTACTATTTACTATACAATGAAAATAATTGATTTCACAATATTGTAAAGACTCTATGCGTGATTTAGGGCACTTACATTCGGATAATTTTACTAATACTACCTAATTAATATTTTATGAGCTACTATTAATAACCATTTAATATATTTTGTGATTTTTTTTTATTAATTTTCGTATGTTTTCTTTTAATACAACCCGAAGATAGGTTACGCTTTGTTTTTGTTTTAGTTAGGTCAAATCAAATTTATTGTATTTTTTCATTCAAAAATTTGAATACGCCTTATAGTTTTGGAAGTTATCCAGTGTCGTGAAACTGAATTTATATATACACACAGGTGTACCGCGTAGGTACCTACATATATGACACACACGAGTCGGAATTATAATAATTTATAAGTACAATTATAATAATACGTTTAGTGCAATGTTTAAATTAGATAAATGGCGCGTGGAACTCTACCTGGTGAATACATTATAATTGTGTCTGGACTACTTTCACTGTATTTTATGTGTTGTTATAAGAAAGATAGCCACAGTCCACGCGGCTGTATTTCCAAAACTGCCCAAAACATCATTTTAAAAACACGTTACCCCTGCCCCGTCGCGGACGTCCTTGCGCGATCATTATGCAATTTTGTCATGAACATTTCATGTAACTGTCACTCTGGTGTACTGGTAGGTATTTACGATGTTTATATTTTCTCAATATCCAGTAGCACAATTATTAGTGTTGAACTAGGTCACGATTACCATAGAACTTACAATAATTATTATCAAAAGTGTAGAGCATCGTATTTAATAACAATAATATGACTACATATGAGTAATGACAAATTTCAATACGGAATACAGCTGTATATAACCACTAAACGCCACTACGCCAGTTGAATGTATAATAATATTAAGTATTTATTATATTTTATTAAATTTATAATCGTTATCGTCTATATCACGGTTGTCAAAATGTCTTTAAAATAAAAAACACAGGTTTAACGATAAAGAAAACCAGCTCTTTAGAACATTAAAATATGTTCTATTTATCAATTAACATTCCAATAACCCTGGAGGGGTCTAAAATTGGTATACAACATCGATTAATTATAGTACCTACGCGTACCTACTATACATACCTACGTGTAATAGCTATTGTTTATTTTATTAATTGATTTAACGGGACGAAATAATAATTAAAAATATTTTAACGTTTTTGTAGGTAAAACTATACGTTTTACTATTTATGAAAAAAAATTAATATACTTTACTCTACGGCACTATTTCAGAATTTTGAGTACAATCATATTATGCGAACCAAAGATATTATTGTCTTATTTCAATACACATTTTTTTCAAACTAAATAAGCAATTTTTTATACGTAACGAGTGTAATGATGTATTACGATATAATATACCAACGTAATTCGTTATTTGATAATATAGTTCAAGTTTATATACTTCCAATGTATTATCTTTTCGAAAATATATTACATAATTAATAATAATAGTTTAATGCGCCCACACAATAATATCACCCGTGTTATTATTTTGTTGGTACTATAACATTATAAACTCGTTGGGCTCAGTCCAATTCAATTATCCATGTGCATAATAATATGTCATATTATAGGCTTATAAGATATCTTTCTAGATCCACATATTTCCATGCCTATAGGTATGTCCTAAATCTACGTCCACCCACGGGTTAGGTGCACAGCTGCTGACACTTAAAACCAACACTGCACTTACCGGTATCTGCAGCAAAGATCCGTTGCTCACTTTTTGGTAACCGTACAACGGCACGACCGGCACAGAACCATTTCTTAAAAATATAGGACCCTGGATAGGCGTCACTCCGCTGTGACTGTAAGTTTCGTCGTAGTAATCTACTGATTCCTCTTCTTCGTCGACGTCGTAGTCCAGCACAGCGTGCAGCGAAGTCTTACCTAAAACACATACATATAAGTGTCGTAATTTATAAGTACGGTTTTATATGGGTAGTGCGTATATCCGTCGTAAACTGCAGAAAAGCCGCGTAATATCATTAGTAAACCATTCGACTACTTAATTAATGATTTAATGGGTTTTTCAGGGTTCCTCGATTTCGTAATCTGTATTAATCTTTCTTCGTACAATCCAAAAGAATGGATTGTACGTTTTTTTTATCCATACTTTATTATACCTAATAATCATATCAGGAAATCAAGTTACATATTTTTTGCTACGAGTTGGGGATCTGTTTAAGTACAGTTCACTAATTATAAAAACCATCAAATCATAATTACTGTAATCATCTGTATACCTACATATTATAACGCGTATGATTTACACTTAAAAGCGATAATAATCTGAGAAAAGATGAATTTTCTCACACTTAAATAAAATGTAAATATTGTTTTTGTAATATTTTACGGAAATTACTCTATGGTTATACAATGATGTCGTTTAATCAATGTTGTTTTTGTGCTAGATATCTTTTGACAAATAATTTCTGTGTTCATATAATAATATTATTATTATTAGTTAAGATGACCAAATCAAAACAAGTTGTGCGGGATTACTAATAGGTACAATTTTAAAGTTTATATAACCTATAGAAGCTACACTATTTGAATACGTGTTGTAATTATTGCAGATATCACATAATAATAAATAACTCGATCTCAATAATTCCTTACAATAGTGCCAAGGCACTAGTACAAATTTATTTTCAGAAAAAATTGTTCCTCTGCAATTATAATCTAATTAGCATTTATTTGTAATATGAAACTGTTTGTCGTGAAAAGTTTAGTGCAAAATGTAGTTTTAAAGCTTTCTTAAAAGTATACCACAAGTTATAAAAAAACCTTGGGGAATTCGATTCTTACACATTTCGCATACTATGTAATCTACGTACGTTTGGGTACCTTTGAAGTCGCGTGTTAGAAATAAATTAAAATGACAACAGTCAAAAAATAGTTTACTTCTTCCAATATTGCTTTTAACACAATATATGTTCTATTGCATTAAGGGGAGAGGGTTAGGTCCTGTTACTCATCGATTGATGGAATTAGGGGATGTGGATGATTCTTCTCATCGGTACACAGTACATAAAATGCTCGTATAAGATAACCATAATGGTTTATCGACTTAACGCAATTATATTAATATATGGTGTATAGAACCCTGATAAATATATTCAAAGGTATAATATGCGCCATTATATTTTTTCTTACAAAATTCTCAAATGACTTTCTCAATTAACTTTTCAAATTATATTTTATCTTGCTTAACTCAAACATAATATTAAAAAAAAACTTTCCGATAACAGATTTAAATACTAAATATTCCATACCTACCTATTATATACAAAATAATATATTATGTTACTATAGTATCACCTTTTTTTATATACCTACGACATTTTGTAAAACTGAGTGTTAAAGAGAGAGTAATACACGCTCGCTTAATATATATATACGTATTTAATGTCTTATACATATAATAGTACCTCTACCCACCTTCTATCTAAACTTAAAACTTACCTAACTATTTAAATACTTGATGGAAATCGGTGATTCAACTCGTTAAATATTTACACAACGATTATTTGTCTATATAAATATTGGCCACACACGCGGCGAGACACCCGGCAATAACTGCTGACATCTGTGTATACATCATCAATATAATCAGGAGAGTTCAATTTGAATACACCATAGCTGGTACTACTATTTGGTATTTACTATTTACCATAAATAAGACATACCTATTAATAATATAGTTATAATAGTACAATTTTAAATATTGTTTCGATTCCGATCTACGAGGATTTATCAGGTAAAAGTATTATATTTTCACACGACTAATTTTTTTTACCCACCCACTCGTATATTGTATAATTTTAGTCAATATTAGGGAGTAGTCACATACGCGTTTTCGTATAAGTACCAACACAATATCACTCTAGTAACCAGACCGCCATGGTCCAAAACGTACCCCCCAATTTACTTAACCACCCTGATCTGCGACGTGATACAACATCGTCAACATTAACAACAACAACAATAACAAAAACCATTAAGTCTTATAAATTTATACAGGTACCTCCGGGCACTCCGCCTTGGACTCTGGTGAACTGGACGGGCGGCTGTTGCGGAACGGGTTTCTTGCGGTTCGGCGGTTCTGTCGTGGTCATCGGCGGCCTGTTGGGCGATTCGTAGTACCTGGACTGCTGTGGCGGCGCCACAGGTGACCCGTAATCCGCTGGGTTGTAGGCCACCGGCTGCTGGCCAGCGTGGTAGGCGGCCTGGTGCGCGGCCGCGGCCACGGCGCCGCCGTACATGGACTGAATGTGTTGTCCGTGGCCAGCGTGGTGGCTGTACGCCATCGGGTTGTACGCGGCGGCGGTGGCGGCGACGCCGCTGAAGTTCTGATACGAACTGATCATGTTTCCGGTCGTGTCAAGCGGTGCCGCCGTTTGATATCTCGGGCGTGCGGTAACCGCGGTATACGAAGAATAATATTATAATACTACCGGTGGTGGCGGATTTCGCATGGTGGACGGCGAAAATTACAATACGCAATAATAACAGATGACAGCCGTTTCGGGATCGTAAATATTAAAAAAAAAATACGACTACGACGACTACGACGACGATAAAATATACCAACACGTACTATGTTTTATTCGGACGAGAGTGGCCCGTCTGTGGACAGAGCACCGCGCACGTCTGGACACGCCGAGCGAATGAATCAATGAAATGCGCGACGGCGACGCGCCACCACCTGTCGCGTGCGACGGCTCGTTCTCTTGGCGGCGACCACGCCATGGCGGAATTATGCAATAGGCGGCTGGACTTGGCGTGCGTGCCGCCGCCGTCTTATGGATAGGAGTCTGCATACATTAATTGTATAGTTGTAGTGTGATCTAAGGTAGGAGCATGAACCATACTATGGGTAGGAGTATGCAGAAGGACAGTGTGACCATTTTTTAAACTTTTTTTTTTGTTCTTGATTGTTTTAAATCCGTTTTTAATTTCACGTCAATTGCTCGCCCGTCCCGCACGTGGCCATGTCCAAGTTCAGTCACGATCTTATATTCTTATAATAGATCACAATAGACATTAGACATATATATATATACACACATATCTATATATATAGGTACAGAGGCTTACAAGTATAGATTATAGGTATCTCTGCAAATAATGCATTTTTATTGATTCCGGATTCATCGGTATAATTAAATAGTAATACATAATACTTAAGTAAGTATACTATAATAATTACATCAACCATTGTAATATATTTTGTATTGTAATATCACATTATATCGATATCTCTGCAATAGCCAATAATCAATATAATCTACTGGAATTATAATATTAAACTTTGTAATACATTGTGATGCATCGATTATAACTCAAAACAACGAATATTGAAAGATTAGACATATTCTTAGTTTATTGGTATACAATTTTGAACTAAAATCTGGTTCATAAATCAAGATAATGTATAATTCATTCATATACTTACTATAAAATATAATAATATATAATAAATAATTGTTCACTATTTTATATTTGAGACGAATGCAGCCACAAACAGTTATTATGCTTCTCATTAGGTGTAGGTATACCGTTTATTATATACTATTTATGTGTATGTAATATAATGTCAGTCGTCTGTGCAAATTTTCGGGATAAACCCAATGAACGATTGCAAGCCTGACCGAATATTGATCATTCCGGAGTCCGGACGGCATACAGGTCAAAATTCATGTACAATACGTGCGAGTTTTTATAATTAAAATCTGACTGTCATCGAAATATGCATATACGTCATATTCAAGGTGTAACAGAAAGAGCTGACAAATGGAATAACTCTTGTTAAAATTATTTTTTTTTGTGTATAATTACTTATTGATGTTCACGCAACAAGTATGGTACATTGGTACCTATACAATTTTTTAATTTTATTTTTAATTCTAAAAATAAAAAAATACGCATTTTATAGATTTTTTTTTTCAAGATAGCTAATTTGTAAATTTAATTTAAAAAAATATATTTATGTTAAAAACGTTTAATTAACCCAAGTTGTATATTTTTTCAATTTTTTAAAGTACCAAAATTTTTTTGTATGAATTAATTTGAATCTTAATATCTTATTTCTAACTATTGTTTTTGGGAATTCTCAGACATAAGTATATCAGAAATCTTACATTATATATTATCATTATTATCCATATTATTTTTATAATTTTTCATACATGCATATCTTGTATCAATTTTTCATTTTCAATTGTCAGGTCTTTCTGTTACATCTTGTATATATTATATTATATTACTCATACTATTGTAGAGAGTCCGCCTGCATATACGTTCGCCAAAAATAACAAGGGCGTCGTGTGTATACCTCCTAATACTTTTTTGTGCGAGGGACATTTTAGCTGATTTTATCTATTCCACGCGTGGAGTGAAGAAATAATATAACAATTTTAGAATAATAATAATAATAATAATAATAATAATAATAATAATATTATAATACACTACGCATAATATGATTGTAATGGTTTTGCTTTATGGCATGTCCCCGAAGGACGCTGCTTGCATACCTATGCTTAGTCTCTACGGGCCTTTTTTGCCAGAAACCGGTTCCCTGATTTACACATAATCCTTTCCCCCAAAAACGAAAAAGATACGATTCCTGGTTCTGCCAAAATGTATTTTTGTGAATAGATATCCGATATTATCTAGAAACCTAATAAGTAATAACCTATACAAATGTAAAAATCACGTGTGTACACTAAAATAAGAAGATGTTCTAATCATTATAATTATTATTATAATTGCTAAATATTGTTTATCACATTTCAATTATATTTAGATATTTTAGAATGTCCTAAAATAGTATATTGTGTGGCAAGTGCGGGAAATCACCTATAATATTATTTTTCTATTCTTTTGACAAATACCTATCTTGTTTCAGTTTATATTTCTGTTATCGACTATTAATCGCCGTCTAGTAATCTACTACTCTACAGTCTTTGCGATTATTTACAGATTTCAAAGCACTTTTCCTTATTTTCCATGTTACATTAGTGTACATTATATCATACAAATTGAAATTAACAATTTAAATCGTTGATATTCTGACCTTTTTGGGCGAAAACGGGTATCGTACCTTTTTTGTTTTTGGTGGAAAAGAGCCGAGACGGAAACAGTCGATATTATTTTGACAGAAACTGTTAACACGGCTGTCTTTACCAGTCTTGCCTTGATTTGCGATTTGCGATTTGATGTGTTCCATATCAGCGGGCCTCGGAAAAAAACAATTCTAACGTCCACATATTATAGTAAAACTATAGCTGTCAACCTAACTTTGCCTGGTAAAAAATAAACAAATATAAAATACAGTGCGTCTACCTATTTAGGTAAATTTCGGTCTTAATGTACCTCGTTTTGTTAACTAATTCTATCGAGATGAGCAGTGGAGAATTTTTTTTTTGGGGGGGGCACGTCTTTTTCCAATTTTTACGACACAAATATTTAAAAACGGCCCAATTTATTAACTAATATTTATTGGGCTTAATTGGGAGGGGGGTCCAGGCCCCTCTGTTCCCTTTAAATCCACCACTGGAGATGGGCAATCCAATATTAGATACATTTAATCCTATATTTTTAACGTGGTTAAAACTACTTTTTACACTTTTCTTATATATCTAAGAACAATCTCTGAAATTCTAATGAAATTTGATCGAGTAGTTTTTGAGTATATAAGATATACAAACATAGATACATTTATTTTTATTTATATTGATTATCTATATGAAAGTCTCTTTTATTTCTGAACTTTATATATATAAAAATGAATGTATGTGTGTGTGTGTGTGTGTGTGTGTCTCCATATTATCATGGCAACCATATATATATTATTTTGAGATTTCCGTCGGTGTGTGTGTCCATATTTCCATGGTAACCAGTTATATACTATTTTGTAATTTTCGATGGAATGTTTTGTATATAAATACAAATAGAGTTGGCAATTTTAATGGGCAACGAAGTGTACGGGATCAGCTAGTATATATATATAAACAAAAAATTATTCGACTTTCATGAGCTAAGACGATATTCCCTTGAGCTAAGACTCCCTAATCCCTATAGCAACCTATAGGGGGTGAAGGCGTGAGACATTATCACAATAACACCTAACACTCCCAGCGTCTCAAAGAATATGTGTGTGTGCTGTACAATTTGGTGCAATTGGTTGTAGTTTCTGAGATTACTGTATACTTACAAACGCACAATCGTTTTTATACATAAATAGTATTTAAGTATATTATATTATATACTTACTGTTTATATTTTCATGATTCCGATTGTAAATAAATCCATAATTTCTTTTTTATAGCTCTAAGGCTTCATACAGAACCTGTTATCTATAATAATTGACTACATACTTCAAAAACCTAGTTGAAAAGCTTATATTAAAATGCTGTAGTATACATGAACACAACATCTTTGACCAGAATATTGTTACCTAATTAGTAAAGAAATCAGACATCAGCATAATTTTTAATTTAAAAAAGATAAAATTCTAGCAGTATACATTTTCAAGTAGACGATGCAAATGTTGACAAGGAAAAACATGCTATAATTTGCTATAAATCTTAAGAGGCGGTCAGCTCGCCATTTTGTTTTCTCTCTCTGTCCCATGCATATTTATGTTTAGTCGAACCAACTATTTGTTGTTACTTTTAATATTAGAGTAAATTCCACTAGTATTAACATTTAAGTATCAACATTTAAGCTGAGAAAATTACCTGTGTCCCAGGTCCCTTGGGACGATGACTTTCTTACGATATTTTATTTTTTATACAATTTATAAGTATCTATTTTTAAACTATAATAGTAGGGACACGGGCCTTAACTTAAAGTTTTATAATAGGTGAATTCAGTATAATATTAATAGAGTAACAACACAGGGTTGATTCTTCTAAACGTAATTTTGCTATGATGCGCGTGGGTGAGAGCGAGAAAACAAATACGAGCGCGATGAGTTATCTTAAGAGATATTATAGGTACCTATTATAACTAAATTGGTTTTGAACTTTTATCCCGAAAAACTCATCATGTTTGTTGTTGGAAATCTAAATTTAGAAGGGGGCGTCATTTATATTTTTAGTAAAATTACATTTGCATAATATGATTATGATGTATTTTATTGGAATGCGTGATATTGAAATATGTGTACGCGTAGATTTTGAAGTTTATAATAACATATTATATCGTTCAGTGCGTAAGCGGATACGGGTGAATAATCAGAGCAAGGTGAATTTGTATATTTTTAAGGAAGTGTTGGTGCGTCGTAGTGCCATACCACAGGTCGAAAACCTTGAAACTGACGCAATTTATTAGTGAATATGCCAGTAGCTAAATCGAAAGT